GCCGAAATGGCAGCTCCGCCGGTGCAGGGACTTGTGCCTGTCTGGAGCCCTGGGAGCCCCCAAGCCTACATGGCGGGAGACCCACGGTGAGGGGCTGGGTGGTGGCACAACAGTGACTGAAGGCCCCGGGTTCCTGTCCTGGCTGAGGGTGGGGTGGCCTGAGGCGTGAAGACCCTGTCAGGGGTGCCTTTCCCTCTGCGTGTCTCTCACGGGAGAAATAAATAAACTTCAGGCACCAGCCCACGGCATGGTGGTTTAGGTGACTGGATCCCACATGGATGACCATGCAGTTCAAGTCCCGGACTCAGTGGCTTGAAAGACACGCCAGGTGCACGAGCAAGCATGCTCAAAATCATGGAAGAAGGAAGAGTTAGAGACGGGATTACAGTGTGACCATGTCCCCTGGGAGGTACTTTCTCATGCCCTCCCCCAGTCTCTCTCCCACAAGTGCATGCACACTCTGGCATATTGAAATAAAATAAAGTAACTGCACGGGTTCAAGTCCCAGACCCAGTGGCTTGAAAGATATGCCGGTTGCATGTGTATGCAAACCCAGAAGCCCAAGAGGAGAATGGAGGAGAAGGGAATGTGGTATAGACATCCCCCCAGAGTTGTCATTTCTCATTTTGTATCTCTTCCTCTCTGTATCGCTCCGACAAATGCATGCGCCCTAAAGCAAAACTAAAAGATAAATTAATAATGAAACAAACTTTAAATAAGTAAATATTTGTAGAATGGATAAGGTCCTCTCCTCGAACCATGACCAGCAAGTCTCAAGCAAGGATGGCACTGGGCACCCCTCCCCCACCACACGCGAGTGCCAGACGGGGACAATCAGCACACAGAGGTGCCAGCCCCCAACTGCCGACAGCAGCTGCTGACATGCCTGGTGTGGGAGTCCAGGTTCTTGGGCCTCTGTTTGCTGCCCACCCATTCTAGTTTTTGTTTCTCCAAAGAATTATTTATTTTATTTATTATTACTGCTGCTCTTTTAATTTGCTATAGGGCCAATATGCTCACCAGAGAGAGGGAGAGAGAAAGTGAGAAAGCAAGCTGTCAGGTCCGGGACTTGAACAGTGGTCAGCCACGCAGGAGTCCAGTGTCCTGTGGCCCCTGGGCCCTTCCTTTCCTGGAAAGGTTGACTTCCTGCAGGCATGGCCATTATACCTGAAGGCCATGGGAAAGGACATGCTTGTCCCTTCAGAGCAGAGGCCTGCAGCCCAGTCAGCCCACTATGGGCACGCACACGAGTGACAATGAGCGTCGTCACTGAAAGCCACCGAGATCTGGGGCTCGCCTGTCACCGCAGCCACGCAGCGACGCCAACTGGTTCCCCTGCAGAGCTCCCACTGCCTGAGTGCTTCCCAGTTGTCAGGCCTCCTGCTGACTCCATCCCCAAGGGGCCCTCTGGCCGACACGTCCTACGGGAAGCAGAGACGGAGGCGTCACGACCCTTGCCTCACATCACATTGCGGGGTCAGAATTCAAACCCGGACTCTGTGAATCTGAAGACCTCGGTCGTTACCACCGGGCTATAAAAAGCAGGGAAGGCCAGGCCTGAAAACCACAACCAGCTCGGGAGAACGGCGGTGATGCAACAATGACAAAGTGTCCTTCCAGAAAGCCGTGTGCATTCCTCCTCCACTTGGAAGGCAATCGGAGCTCTGCACTGTCATCAAAGCAAGCTGTCAGGTCCGGGACTTGAACAGTGGTCAGCCACGCAGGAGTCCAGTGTCCTGTGGCCCCTGGGCCCTTCCTTTCCTGGAAAGGTTGACTTCCTGCAGGCATGGCCATTATACCTGAAGGCCATGGGAAAGGACATGCTTGTCCCTTCAGAGCAGAGGCCTGCAGCCCAGTCAGCCCACTATGGGCACGCACACGAGTGACAATGAGCGTCGTCACTGAAAGCCACCGAGATCTGGGGCTCGCCTGTCACCGCAGCCACGCAGCGACGCCAACTGGTTCCCCTGCAGAGCTCCCACTGCCTGAGTGCTTCCCAGTTGTCAGGCCTCCTGCTGACTCCATCCCCAAGGGGCCCTCTGGCCGACACGTCCTACGGGAAGCAGAGACGGAGGCGTCACGACCCTTGCCTCACATCACATTGCGGGGTCAGAATTCAAACCCGGACTCTGTGAATCTGAAGACCTCGGTCGTTACCACCGGGCTATAAAAAGCAGGGAAGGCCAGGCCTGAAAACCACAACCAGCTCGGGAGAACGGCGGTGATGCAACAATGACAAAGTGTCCTTCCAGAAAGCCGTGTGCATTCCTCCTCCACTTGGAAGGCAATCGGAGCTCTGCACTGTCATCAGGAGCTGAGCGGGAGCCAGGCTGCCCGGCAGCACGGACACAGACGGGAAGGCCCCACTCAGCTCCAGAAACTGGCTGCTTTAAACTGCCCAGGACGCGTGTCGGCCACCCTCGGGCCACTCGCAAGTAATAAAAAGAGTCCACGCCCCGTGCTCTGGGCAGACGGGAAGTGAAGACGGGCAGCAACGCCCACCTGCTGCTTTTCACAGCACGCTTCCCCCCTTTGCTCCCAGAAGCCTGCCGAGGCCAGGGACGCTTGTGAACCCCACACATCAACCAAGACTGAGCCAGCTGCTTTCAAACGGAGGGTCGCGCCTCTGAAGGTTATAGGATCAGATTAGCGGGTTCGTCCTCGAGAATTTCTCTTTAAAATTAAGCAGGATGGAGTACAGTGGAATGGAGCAGGTGGAAAATAATAAAGTGCATCACACAGGGAACGGTGAGCACTAGTTTGGGGAACTGGCTTCAAAGCTCGTGTCCAATCACGGCCCCGGTCAGCACAGGCCTACCTCATGCTGTAAGCTGCGGTCAGAAAGGCCCTAACGTCACTGGGCTGGGAGCCGGACGGTGGCGCAGTGGGAAAACACACACTCCACAAGGCTGACTCGTGTGGGACGGTTCTAGGTCTGCGTCTACAGACTTCCCTGAGTGTGCCTGATCCAGGGCTGGCTGAAACAGGGGGTGCCTGCAGTGTCGGCATCCTGCTGAGGGTGTGTCTTTTTGTCTGTCTGTCTGTCTCGCTCTCTGTGTGGCTCCCCTACTCACAGAAAACATACATAAGTAGCCACAGTTCTACAAATAATAAAACCAAAATGCGCAGTCAGGTTCTGTTCAGTGAGACTTTTGGTGAAGACTCTGGGAAACTTCAGGCAATGACAGATCTTCCTCTAGAAAAGACAGTCTTTGCTTCCTGTTTTCAGTTTTGAATGCAGTAGAGATGACTGGAGCCGTGGCAGTCATTCTGCAATCAGTAGGTAACAAATCTAAGACTGATAAGCCTACCTGGAGAGAACGGGCTGTCTGGGAGAGAAAAAACTGCGGGTTCTTTTGGAAAGGTTTTGTTTTTTGTTTTTCTGTTTTTTTTGTTTTTTGGGTTTTTTTGCTATAGGGCACGTGTGCTCACCAGACAGAGAGACAGAAAGCGAGAAATCACCTCCCAGGGGGGATGGCCATGCCGCAATCCCTTCTCCTCCATTCTCCCCTCGGGATCTTGGGCACACACACACACGTGCCCGGCGTGAGTTTAAGCCACCGGGTCCAGGACTCGAACCGTGGTCGACTACATGGGAGTCCAGCGACATAGCCATTACGCTAACTGCTGGTCCCAAAACTGCGGGTTCTTAATAACGCTTCATGGATTGCCTGCCTCCAAGCTGCTTAATCCTTACAGCATAAGCCACCACTTGGTTTCCCATTATTTTTCATCCAAACACAACCCAACATAAGAACTTGCATTTCTGGACATCTCTGCAAGGACTCTTGCAGCCTGCTGTGGATCAAGGACCGTACTTTTTGAATTGCTAGTTGAGAAGCGCAGTCAGTAAAGCGGGAGAGAGCAGGCGCAAGGGGGATCTGAAACAAAGACCACTGCGGTTGACTGCAAAAGCACTGGGCCAGAAATTGTCCTCCCTACTCCCACAGTCTCTGCAGCTCCTCCTATCAAGAGACAGGCTCACTGCCCCCGCCCCCCAGCCCTCTTCCCCCACTGAACCCGAGCTGGCTCCTTGACTGGTTTCGGCCAACAGAACGTGGCAGAAGTGATGGTGCGCGTTTCTGAGCCTCGCTCGCTCCACTCTTTGCCCCGGTCAGTGTGCGAATGCCCGCTGAAGGCTTCCAGGGTGACAGACATGTGCCCATCGCCCCCACTGTCTCGACTAACAGCCAGCCAAGCCCTGGCTGACCCTCGGCTCACGCAGCCAGACCCAGGACGGTCTAACCAGGGAGATCACGCTTTGCCGTGGCAGACTGATTTTCAGAGATGGCTGCAACAATAGCCCAACCCACGTGGCCTTCCACCATGATCCTGCTACTCTTGAATCCAGCATGACACGGGGGGCGGGGGGGAGACACCCCCAACAGGGTCCTCACACCCCGATCCACCCCAGCCTCTGCCAGCGTGGATCACAGGAATGCACACGCACCCTGTGTGCTCAGGGAGGTCCTGGGACATGAACTCAGGGCCCTTCCAGGGAGGTCCCATTATTGGACTGCTGGGCCCCAGGGAGTGACTCCTGAAGTGAAGTCACGCAAGGCAACTCAGGTCCAGCTCCGTTTTGTCTGTGGAGACATTGACCTTTGCAGCCCGAGCTGCCTTCCTAGAAACCGGAGTGCTCTGAAGCTGCCGCACCCTGGGGAAGCCACAAGCCACGCAGAGACCACCAGGAAGAGCTGTGGTTGCATGGTCCCATCTCCGATCACCCAGCTCAGAGCTAAGCATGTGTCTGAACGATCCTGGCTTCCAACCAGAGCCACTGCAGCTGAGATCCTAGACGTGGGCAGAGACCCACCCGCCTTGTCAAATTCCTGACCCAAGAAGTCCGTGGTAACACGATGGTTCAAGCCGCAGTGGCAATCAGCTAAATAGCGCCCATGATCAGGACAGCCTCTGAGCGTGGTGGCTGCTTGTTACACAGCAGGAGCTAGC